CTCTCACGGGCTCCTACCAAGCCTCAGTCCAGCAGTGATGGAATCTGATCCAGCTCTAGTCGAATCCCACGAGGGCTCGATCCAGCGCTGCTCCAATCCTCCTATGCCGGCACCCTGCAGTAAGCTCATCCCATTCGGGGCAGACGCAAATCGAACAGAATCCAACCAAATAGTGGACCTAACTAGAACGGAATTCGTTCAGGGCTGAATGCGATTCTAATCGAATTATACTAGAGTTCAATCCAGCTCTAACAGAATCTTGCCAGGGCCCCATTGCTAACATAATCCTGCTAGGCTCCATTCAGCTTGACTATCTGTTTTTAAAAAAAGGTCGACCACGCTCTCTCAGCATCCCACTTGGGCTCGACCCCGCCCTGATGGAATCCTGTTAGGGATCGATCCAGCTATGACGGAATCATACTAGGTCTCCATTTCCAACAGAATCCCGCTAGGGTTCCATTCTGATTTAATGACATCCCTTCATGGGTCGATTGCTCTCTCGCAGAATCCTACTTGGACTCGACCCAGCTTTGATGGAATCCTGTTAGGGCCCGGTCTGGCTCTAACACAATCCTGCGAGGGCCCAATGTCTTACAGGATGCCGCTAGGGTTCCGTTAAGCTTTGACGGCATCCTTCTACGATTCGATCGAGCACTCTCAGAATCCCTCTTGAGCTCGACCCAGTTCTGATGGGAACCTATTCGGGCTCGATCCAGCTTTCACATAATCTCGCTAGGGCTCAAAAATTCTAACAAGATCCCGCAAGGGTTACAGTCAGCTTTAATGACATCGTTCTAAGGGTCGATCGAGCTCTCTCAGAATCCTACTTGGACTCAACCCAGCTCTGATGTAATCCTATTAGGGCTCGATCCAACTCTAACCAAAACCTGCTTGGACTCCATGTCTAACAGAATCCTGTTAGGGTTCCACTCAGCTTTAATGACATCCCTTCATGGGTCGATCGAGCTCTTTCAGAATCCTACTTGGGCTCGACCCAGCTATGATGGAATCTGGTTAAGGCTCGATCCAGCTCGAACAGAATCCTGCTAGGGCTTAATTTCTAACAATGCAGCTGGGGTTCCACTGAGCGTTGATGGCGTCCTTCTAAGGGTCGATCGGGCTCTCTCAGAATCCTACTTGGGCTCGACCCAGCTCTGATGGAATCCTGTTCGGGCTCGATCCAGCTCTAACAACATCTTGCGAGGGTTCCATGTCTAACATAATGTCACCAGGGTTCCATTCAGCTTTAATGCCGTCCTTCTAAGGGTCGATCGAGCTCTCTCAGAAACCTACTTGGTCTCGAGCCAGCCCTGACGCTAATCCTATTAGGGCTCGATCCAACTTTAACAGAACCCTGCCAGGTCTCCAAGTCAAACAGAATCCCGCTAGGGTTCCATTCAGCCTTTGTGACGTCAGTCGAATGGTCAATCGAATTCTCTCAGAATCCGATTTGGGCTCGATCCAGCTCTAACGGAATCCTGCCAAGGCTCCATTTCTCACAGAATCCAGCTAGGGTTCTTTTCAGCTTTAACGACATCCTTCGAGGGGTCGATCGAGCTCTCTCAGAATCCTACCTGGGCTCGACCCAGCTCTATGGAATCCTGTTAAGGCTCGATCCAGCTCGAACAGAATCCTGCTAGGGCTTAATTTCTAACAATGCAGCTGGGGTTCCACTGAGCGTTGATGGCGTCCTTGGTTTCATTTTCAAACAGAAAGCCGCAAGGGTTCCGTTCAGCTTTAATGACATCCTTCTAAAGGCCGATCGAGCTCTCTCAGAATCCGACTTGGTCTCGGCCCAGCTCTGAGTAATCCAAGTAGGGTCCGATCCAGCTCGAACAGAATCCTGCGAGGTCTACATTTCAAACAAAACCCGGCTAGGGCTCCAGTCAGCTTTAATAAAACCTTTCAAGGGTCGATCGGGCTCTCTCAGAGTCCTGATTGGGCTCGACTCAGCTTTGATGGAATATTAATAGGGCTCGATCCCCTAACCGACTCAGGTTAGGGCTGGATCGAGCTCTCGTGGCACCCGACAAAAACTCAATCCAGCTCTACTGGAATCCTACTACGGCTGGGCCCAGCTCTCGTAGAGCCACATCAGGGCTGGATCCAAGTCTGATGGGACTCGACTGGCGCTCGATCCAGCATTAACACCACATCGCTATATACTTGGATCCAGCTCGGATAGAATCCTACAACGGCTCGAACAAATGCTTCGAAAACCCTAATCCAACTTTCAAGCAATCCTATGAGAACTCGATCCAACTTTAATTGGAAGTGGCGAGGGCCCGATCCAGCTTATGGCAGCCCACTAGGGCTCGATCGTCGTTGTCGGCGTGGTCGTAAGCGTCCTTGTCGTCGTCGTCGCCTTCTTCGTCGTCGTCGTCGTGGTCGTCGTCGTCGTTGCCGTCGTCGACGTCGCCGTCGTCGTCGTCGTCGTCTTCGGCGTCGTCGTCGTCGTTGTCTTCGTTGTGGTCGTCGTCGTTTTTGTTGTCGTCGTCGTTGTCGCCGTCATCGTCGTCGTCGTTGTCGCCGTTGTCGCCGTCGTAGTCGTCGTCGCCGCCGCCGCCGTCGTCGTCGTCGGCGTCGGCGTCGGCGTCGTCGGCGTGGTCGTCGTGGTCGTCGTGGTGTCGTGCGTCGAGCGTCGTTGTCGTCGTCATCGTCGTTGCCTGGGGGGGGGTCGGTACCCCTCGAGTAGTTTTTCTGGGGAGAGGGGGGGGGAGGATCTGGAACCCATGAATGATTTCCCCCAGGGGGAGGGAGGGAAGAGGTCCAGAACCCCCCCCCCTCCCCTTGGTTTTTGCTTAGGGGGGAGGGTTTGATCCTCCCCCCTTCTGCCAGCAGCGGCAGAGAGCGCTCTTTCCCGCAAGTCGATGCACGTACGAAGCGCCACAGAAACACGCTCTCCGAAACGTCTCCCACATCTGGATGCACGCACGCAGCGCCACAGGAACACACTTCCCCAATCGTATCCCGCACATGGACGCACGTACCAAGGAAGCGCCACAGGAGCACACTTCCCAAATTGTCTCCTGCATGTGAAGGCAGATGCACGTGCGAAACACCACAGGAACAGAATGGCCAAATCGTCTCCCACATCTGCATGCATGTACCAGGTTGCTCCAGATTCCTCAAGATTCCTCAGGGCTCCTTCAGATTCCTCTGGATTTCCTCTTTACCATGCTCTTGATTCCTCCAGATTCCTCCCGGTTCTTCCAGATTCCTCCATGTTCCTCCGGATCCCCGGAGATTCCTCCGGATTCCTCGGGGTCCCTCTGGAATCCTCCAGAATCCTTTGGCCTCTTCTAAATTCCTGCGGGTTCCTCAGGAGTCCTCTGGATTCCCCAGGATATGTCCAGATTCCTCCAGATTCTATGGGATGCTCAAGGAGTCCTCCCGAATGCGAGCGCTTCCTGCGGATTCCTCGCACGCCAGGAGGCTCCCAAGAGCAGGATGACTCCAAGATGGTCCAAGAGGGCCCCAACAGGAGCCCAAGATGGTCCCAAGAGCGCCCGAAAGCTCTGGAGCAGCGCCCCATGAGGTGATCGATGTGTTCCAGAGGGACGAGGTTACCTAAGGACACCTCCTCTTTGATCCATATCCTCCAAGATGGTCGCAAGAGGGCCTCCAAGGTCCCCAAGATTGCGCCAAGGTGGCCCCAAGAGGCGCCCAAGAGGCCCTAAGCGGTCCCCAAGAGGCCCCCTACAGGCCCCAAGATGGCTCAAGAGGGCTCCAAAAAGGATCCAAGCGAAGGAACTCGAAGATACGTTTCGGACCCTCCGTCCCAGGAAACCTCCGAGGCCGCCAACAGGCCCCCAGGAAACCAACAAGAGCCCCCAATAACATCCCAAGAAGCCCCGAGGAGCAGAGGCAACCCATTGTGTACGCAGTGCGGCGCAAGCCCATGAATCATACTCGCACCTATCGCTTCAACAACCTATCCGCCACCGTGCCCCCTGGCATCTTGAGGCGTGCTAGAATGCTAAGTGCTGTCTGGTAGCGTTTTTGTAATACTCAACAGGGCCCTCCCCCCTCTGGGCCGCACCTTGTTGCGCGCGCACCGGCCATACTCGCGGGGGGTCCCTGGGCGGCCATGGCGCCTCCCTGGGTCTCAAAGGCTTCCATGACGGCCCAGGAGGCCCCCAAGACGGTCCGAGAGGGCCCCGAGTCGCCGAACGATCGCTCGAATACGCCTAAGATGGCCTCAAGATGGCGCAAGAGGCTTCCAAGGCGCCCCAAGAGGCCTCCAAGAGGTCCCCCAAGAGGGCCCTCCAAGGCAAAAAGCATTGATTTTCCCGTCGTTGTTGATGGATTTGGCAACTCTCGCCTTTTCGGCTTTCCGACGCTCCAAGGCGGCCCAAGAGGCCCGCAAGGCCACCCCAAAGCGGGCCAAGAGGCCTCCAAGAGGGCCCCAAGACGGCATAAGAGCGCCCTAAGCCGACCCAAGAGGCGCCATAAGACTGCCCAAGAGGCGCCGAAGACTGCCCAAGAGGGCCGAAGACAGCCCCCAAAGGGGCCCCAGCGAAGGAACACGAACCGAAAATACGAGTATCCCAAGAGGGAGGCCCCAAGAGTCTCCCAAGAGTCCCCCAAACAGTCCCCAAGAGGCTTCGAAACTGTGTCCAAGAAGCACCCGAGAGGCCTCCCACGAGATTCCAACGAACATCCACTAGGCTTATGACCCACAACCCAGGCACGGTGGCGGTACTTGCCGTAGGCAGCTGGGTATCTACACAAAGAAACATCACCTCCCAAATTGCCATAAACATTGAAGTGCTCTGATGAATGAATGTGAGAGGCAGATTCTGATGCTCAAGAACCGAATCAAGTGGCCTTGCCAGGAAAATAAACAGAAACTGCTCGGCCTCTTTTGTTCTCATGTAAACAAGATATCATAAACTATCTTAGGACCGCAACTGCGACAACAGCAGGAAGAAACCGGTGCGGAGCTCCCCATACTCAGTAAACTCTGTGGAACTAGACGCCAAGGAACGAGCAACTCCTCAGATGACGAAGCCGTCGGAACCGGGGTCCACGATCGTGATGTCAGCACATTGGCTCCACACCTGCGAGGTCATCTCGCAATCCCAACGCCAACCCAAGACGTAATTTCCAGGTTTGATTCGAGAAGGGACCCGGACCGTATCTTCGATAGCGAAATCATGCATATCGTGCCCTGGCACCGGCCACGGAAAGATCTTGGGATCGGCTCCCGCGTTGCTAGGCGTGCCGGGGAAGTGCTTGGAGCACACAGTGGGGCACGCGGCGTCCGCGGCGTAGGCAGGCGGCCCACACCCTGGGCACTTCCAGGGGCAGTGGGCACTCGCATTCGTCTTGGTAACGTTGTAGTCGCAGTTCACGTCTGTGAGCTCTGGAACGGGGTACCTCATCCAGCCCTTGCCTCCGCCCTCTGCGACGACGGTGGCGTTGATCTCGAAGTCCATCGAGGAGTTCTTGAAGCGGATCGTGTGCTTGCCGCCCACAAACTCGAGGGGCATCCTCTGGAAACACTCCTCGGTCAGAGGCTCGTCCGCAGGGCACAGACGAAACTGGTACCCGCCGCCGTGGCCCGCTGTCTGCTGCCACCGCGTCTTCGCCAGGGCGCCCATCTTCCAGATCGTGCCAGACGGCCGAGGCTTGAGGACCTTGCTGCCGAGATCGCCCTGCCGCGCGAAACGTGTCGTCTTGTACGCACCCGCGTTGAAGACCTCGACCGCATTTCCGCCGGCCATCCCACAAGCATCAAAGACAGGGGCCGTGCCCGGTGCTCGCCACGGGTTGAACTTGAAGATATCCGCCACGGATCCCTCTTCGGCGTTGTGGTTGGCCGTCCAATACTCCTTGCGAAGGGTTTGCCTGGCCGTTCGCTCCTCTGGGCACTGGTCGAAGTTCGGATACCGGATGCCGTTCCCGGTGCATGCTTTGCAGCCAATGCTGCAGCCCTGCGAGAACCAGAAGCAGCTTTGGCCAGCATTGCACTCGGATGTGCCGTTTGTGCACATACACGTGTATGGTTCGATCCAGCCCGTCGCTGGGAAATGCTCGTGGCTCCAGCCGGGCAGTTCGGCATCGATAGAATTGCGCGTCGGCGGCATGATCATGGACCCATGCGAGGCAGCAGGGACGGCATTGAGTAGCCCAATAACCGCATTCAGAAGCCACACCATCTCGCGTAAAGGCTGCGAGCCCCCTGACGGTTGCGGACCCCTGAGGCCAAATGGCATCAGCCTTGAGGTCAAACTGCTGTAGCCAGAACGGCCAGCCGCCCACAGAGACTGAGCGTAGTGAACGGCTCTGACCGTCCAAGTGGAAAGCCGAGCAGCAAAGCAAGCGAGTGTAAACTGCAGTGCAGCCTGCGGATACGAGCAAACAGACGCACGCACTGTGCCGCTTGAGGGCGGACCGCCCTCCAACGATTGGGGCCACGGCGCGGATCCCCCAAGATGCCCTCGCCTCACCCCCTACCCTTGAAAAAGCGCTAGCTGCTCGTATAATTGCGTTCAGCTGCCCTCGAGCGTTTGATGCTCGTCTGCAGGTGCTGCTTCCCTTCAACTTTGTCTTGGCATACCTTATAAGTGGCCTCAGTTTGCCTGGAACGCTCCCTTTACACGTCCTCCATGCTGCTCTCAGCGTGCATGAAGCTGAACATTAACATGTATTGGCTGGTGCGTCCTCCTGTTGCCTTGGTACATTGCAAATGACTTGAGTCGAACGTTTACTTCTAGTGCATGTGGTTTGCCTTTCTGCCCCCTCTGGCATTACTCTGGCTGACATGTTGTTTGCCCTGAGCATGCGATGACAAGTCAACTGTGGCTGACCTTCAGCTTGAATGTTTGGCGTTGTATATCCATGAGCGCGCTTCGAGCGATTAGGTTCGATTCGATGGGAGCCGCGCGCTTTGCGTGCCATAATCTTTTCGTGCTCCTATTCTTCCTGCACCTCCACCATCCTCTTCGTCTCCCTCATCCTCTTCTTCACCCCTCTCATTGTCATCATGGCCACCCTCATCAAACACAACAACCTCGGCAGCAGCAGCCCCGCAATCATCACCCTCATCATCATCAGCATCATCATCAACATCATCATCGTCGTCATCGTCACCATCACCACTATCATCATCACTCATGTTCGGCAACATCATTACCACCAACATCATCATCATCACAAACAACATCGCACTCATTAGCATCATCACTACCGCCATCATCATTATCATCAGCATCTCCATAATCATCACCACCATCATCATCATCATCGTCATCATCGTCATCATCAGCATCATCATCATCATCTTCAACATCAACATCATCATCAGTACCAGCAACATCACAATCATCACCACCATCATCATCAACATCACGGTCATCATCATCATCATCATCATCATCATCATCAGCATCAGCATCATCATCATCACCATCATCAGCACCATCAACATTAGCATCACCACCACCATCGTTTTCATCATCAGCAGCAGTACCAGCATTACCAGCATCAGCATCATCAACATCACCACCATCACCATCATGAACATTACCATCACCATCACCATCAACTTCACCACAATGATTACCATAAGTATCAGGATCATCAGCTGCAACAGCAACAGCCACAGCATCAGCATCCGCATCAGCATCAGCAGCAGCATTAGCATCAGCATCAGCGTCAGTATCATCATCATCATCATCATCATCATCATCATCATCATCATCATCATCACCATTACCATCACCATCACCATCATCGTCATCACCATCATCATCACCATCATCATCAACATCATAATCATAATAATCACCATCACCATCACCATCATAACACTATCACCATCATCATCATCATCATCATCATCATCATCATCATCATCATCATCATCATCATCATCATCATCATCATCATCATCATTATCCTCGTCGTCGTCGTCATCGTCATTCGCTGCCATGCGGGTCGAGCTCGTGCCAGGTGGGGGAGGTTTAGACCGTGGCGCTCAAACGCCAGGGCGCGCAGAAGCTTCAGTCTTTCCCGCTGGTGGCATGCAGTGGAGTGCGCCGTGCAGCGCTCCCTGAGAAATGCAATAAATCAATTGTCTCTTCCGCTCTCGAGCCGGTCCTTCACCGATGTCGGGGAGAGGAGGCCCAGCTGCCGTGGCTACTACATGTCTGGAATTGGGTGCATGCAAGTTCGACCAAACGAGTCGGGGCCATTCTGGCCCTCCCCTGCATCGTCACCCGCGTCAAGAGTGCTTGCAGGAGTAGCTTCGGTTGCCCCCTATGCTGGTTCGGAATATGAGTGGCGAGGCCAGCGACCGCGTGATCGCGTGGGCCTCTCGGCAGTGGCCCGCCCGTCGCGGTCGCCTCGCACTCGCGCGAGCTCAGAGCATCTTGGCGGCGAGTGTCCTCTTCCGCATCATGGCCCTGTTCACCGCCGGGGCTCGTCTCTGCGGACGCTCGCCTTCCTGGTGGTGATCGATTCGGCACGGCGAGTGCGGGACGCACTCCAGCACCGCCACCCGCCACGCCGGGCATGTCGCGTGGCCCCGTCTGCTTCCGCCTGGTTGGTTGGCCTCGTTCCAGGACCAGGGCAGCATGGTCCACACGGCGCTGCGGGACGTCCTGAGCGGGCAGCCTCCGTCTGGCCCCTCAGCGCTGGGGTGCCGTCCAGGGCCAGGCCATGGTGTATACGCTGTTCACAGACTCCGGACGAGACGTGGGTAACTGCAATCTCGTCCGTCCTTCTCGTGCTCACGGTCCGGAATTCCAGCGCGGCTTCCAGATGCGCATGTGGGAGCACTTCCGCGCCCTGTTCAGGGCGCACTCGGTGGAGGGGCGGCGGCGACGCTATCGACCTCTTCGCTACTCCATCGCGACGTTGGGCATGCTTCCATGCATTGTGACTTCATCGATCGGGCAGGCGTACACGTCGTTCGTTACTAATCGCGCTCATTTCTAATCGTGCCCGTCTCAGATTGTTCCTGGCCCCCTGATGGCCAGGAAGAGACCCAGGACAGAACGATCAGAAAGGAAAGGATCTTGGGCCCCAAAAAAATCAAAGAGCTTTCAAAGACTTAGAGATGAACACTGCGTGCTCCCTGGCAGCCTTGGCCACCCGGGCGGAGGCTCCGCGTGGGCATGCTGCTGCCGAGAGAGGGGGCCGAGCACTGCGCGCGCTGCCCAGTGCGGGTGGCGCACAGGTCCAGCAGCCGCTGTCGGCCGTCCTCCGGGCGCCCGGGAGCGCGCATCGGCTTCGTCCGGTGTGCGTGGCCTCGTCTGCCTCCTCTTCCACGGCTTCGTCGTCCACGCAGGGCTGAATTTCCAGAACTCGTTGGCGCCAACGCACACAGTGACGGCTTCACCAGATCTATATACAGATATACACTATAGAACCATCGCGCGCGCTTCGCGCGCGCTCAAGTCCTAGCTAGGCTTGATAGGCTTACTCATGTTATCTCATGTTGGTCGCTTCTTGCGTCCAGGGACGTTCTAGCTAGGCTTGATAGGTTAACTCATGTCATCTCATTTTGGTCGCTTCTTGCGTCCAGGGACTCCCTTGGAGGCCTGCTCAAGCCTCGGAATCATATAGAAGAGCAAACGCGGAAACGCAGAAATCATTAATTCCTTTAGGTATTCAACGATTCCGGGCCCTCAAAGGCTTCCTGGGTTCTTTTTTGGGAGGTGAGGGGGGTCTGAATTGATCTTGCGGACCCCCTGGGGTTTCTGGAGGCCTCCTGGAGGCCTGGAGAGCAGTCGGAAGGGTGTCGCGGGCTGCGCGGGAGCGTGTTGGGCCGTTCTTCACGTTCTGGGGGCTTGTCCTTCGGTCGGCGACTTGGGGTCTCCCCCTGGGACGCCAGGAGGCGCGGTACCGGCCAGATGTCAGGGGATGTGTAGGACCCCCGAGTAGGAGTCCCACTTTGAAAAAAAGGGGGGATTCTGGGAATTCCCTTTTTTTCAAAATCCTCGATCTTCGAGGGTTAGAAGCTGGAAAACGTGAGAAGGCGAAAAATATTAGAAATACCATGGGACATCAACGATTAGACCCTCTTTGGGCTCTCTCGGGACGGCTCTCGCAGTTCTCTTTGGCTGTTCTTGGAGCCTCGTCGAGGTCTTTCTGGGGTCTCTCAAGGATCTGGGGTGTGTTAGGGGCCTCTGGGGGGTCCCGGAGGCCTCTCGGAGGTCTCTGGGAGCCTCCTGCTCCCGCTCTTGGTCCCATCTTGGGCCTGTGCTGGGGTGGTCTGAGGCTGTCCTGGGCGCCTCTTCGGCAGTCTTGGAGCCTTCTTGGCCCGTCTTGGGGCCGTCCTGAGGGTCTCTTGGGTGGTCTTGGGGCGGTCTTGGGAGCCTCGTCGGCGCTCTTGGACCGTTGGAAGCTCGAAAACGCGAGAAGCCAAAAACATGTTTTAAAAACAATGGAAATCTACGATGTTGGCCTCTTCGGGCCGTCCCGGGACGCCTCTCGGACCTCTCTTGGGGTCTCTTGAAGGTTACCTGGGAGCCTCGAGAGCCGTCGGAAGGCTGACTTGGGCTGCTTGGTAGCGTTTTGGACCATCCTTTCGCATTCTGGGGGTTCCTGTGAGGCGTCTCGGGCCCTCCTGGAGCGCTGTGGAGGCCCCCCGGAACGCCCGGGGGAGCCGTACCGGGAGCGTTCCCGAGATGTCACGGGGAGGTGTGGCACCCACGGCCGGGGGGGGCTCTATTGGGGTGCCTCTTGGGGCGTCTTCGGAGCCTCGTTTGGTGATTTGTCGGGTCTCTTGGGGGCCTCTTGGGGCTTCTGGGCGCTTCTTGAAGCCTCTTGGGGTCTGCTGGGGGCCTCTTAGGCCAAAACGCTCGAAATGTCGGTTCCTCGTCCCCGTCTTGGGCGCCGACTCCGCGCGTTCTTCGGCGGTCAGGGCGCCTCGGGGGCCGTCTTGGCCCCCTCGTGGGCTGTCTTGGAACCCTCTTTGGGGCATCCTCGACCGTCTTGGGTGCCTCTTGGCCCGTCTTGGACGCAGTGGACGCCCAAAAGGCAAACACGCCAAGAATATCAGCTTCCGCAAAGGACATCGACGATGTTTGCTTATTGGGGCTCTATTGGAGTGCCCTTGGGGCGTGTTCGGGGACTCTTTTTGTGTTTTTGCGGATTTCTTGGGGACCTCTTGGGGCTTCTTGGGCGCTTCTTGGAGCCTCTTGGGGTCTCCTGGGGGCCTCTTGGGCCAAATGGCTCGCATTTTCGGTTCCGCGTCCCCGTCTTGGGCGCCGATTCGGGGCGTTGTTGGGCGGTTTAGGCGTCTCGTGGGTCGTCTTGGCCCCCTCGTGGGCCGTCTTGGAGCCCTCTTGGTGGCTTCCTCGACCGTCTTGGGTGCCTCTTTGCCCGTCTTGGACGCAGTGGACGCCCCAAAGGCGAACACGCCAAGAATATGTTTTTCCTATAGGACATCGACGATGTTTGCTTATTTGGGGCTCTATTGGAGTGCCTCTTGGGAGCCTCCTGGGGTCTCTTGGGGGGCTCTTGGGGCCTCTGGGGGGCCACTTGGGGTCTCCTGGGGACCTCTTGTAGCCTTCTGGGAGCCTCTGGGGCCGAAAGCTCGGAATTTGAACATGGTTGTGCACCTCTGGGACTCCTCTGGGGCCCGTCCTGGGGCTCTCTTGGGCTGTCTTGGGGGCCTCTCGGGCCGTCTTGGGACCCTCTTGGGGTCGTCTTGGAACCCTCTTGGGAGCCTGTGGGGCAGTCTTGGGGGCCTCTTGGCCCGTCTTGGACGCAGCGGAAGCCCAAAGGCGAACACGCCATAAACATCCTTGTCCCCATCGGAAATCGACGATGTTTGCTTATTTGGGGCTCTATTGGAGTGCCCGTTGGGGCGTGTTCGGGGACTCTTTTTGTGTTTTTGCGGGTCTCTTGGAGACCTCTTGAAGCTTTTTGGGCGCTTCTTGGAGCCTCTTGGGGTCTCCTGGGGGCCTCTTGGTCCAAATGGCTTGCATTTTCGGTTCCTCGTCCCGTCTTGGGCGCCGACTCCGGGCGTTGTTGGGCGGTTTAGGCGTCTCGGGAGCCGTCTTGGCCCCCTCGTGGGCTGTCTTGGAACCCTCTTTGGGGCATCCTCGACCGTCTTGGGTGCCTCTTTGGCCGTCTTGGACGCAGTGGACGCCCAAAAGGCGAACACGCCAAACATATCAGTTTTCCACATGGAAATCGACGATGTTTGCTAATTTGGGGCTCTATGGGGATGCCTCTTGGGAGCCTCCTGGGGGTCTCTTGGGGCATCTGGGGGGCATCTTGGAGCCTCCAAGGGACCTCTTGGGGCCTCCTGGGAGCCTCCGGGGCCGAAAGCTCGGAATTTGGAACCCCTGGGACCCCTCTGGGACACCTCTTGGGCCGTCTTGGACGCAGTGGACGGCAAAAAGGCAAACACGCCAAAAATAGCAGTTTTCCCATAGGAAAACTACGATTTTTGCGAATTGGGCCTCTCTCGGGATGCCTCTCGGGGCGTCTTCGGGGCCTTCGGGGGCCTTCTTGGCGTCATGGGAGTCGTCTTGAAAGGCGTCTGGAGCCATCACTGCGGCCTCCTGGGGCCTCCCTGCGGCCTCGTGGGGCCCTGTTGGCCCCGGGTGGGTCGCCGAAACCCCGTAAAAACACCGGGAAAACGACGACCAGGCCCCACATTTGCGGTCGTGGTCGCGGCCCCCGGCCCCCGGACCCGGTCCCCCGTTACATGTATATGTGTGCAGTTGCATATATACATATATATATATATATATACACACACAAACATGCATACATACATACATACATAGATATATACATACATACGTACATACATATATACCTACCTACGTACATACATATATATATATATATATATATATATATGTATATATGTATATACATACATACATACATACATACATACACACACACATTCATACATACATACATACATACATACATACATATAAGACATGGGTACCTATATACATATATACATATACATATACATATACGGATACACACACGTATACGTATACGTATACATATACAGTTGCATATACAGATGCATATACATATACATATACATATTTACTTACATATACATATACATATACATATACATATACATATACGTATACATATACATATACATATGCATTTACATATACATATACATATATATATATATATACATATACATATGCAAATACATATACATATATATACACATATACATATACAAAACATATACATATACATATGCATATATAAATATATGCATATACATGAACATACACCTATACAAATACATATACATACACGTATACATATACATATACATATACATATACAATTACATGTACATAAACATATACATATGCATATACATACACATATACATATATATATATACATACATATACATATACATCTATATGTACATATACATATACACACAAATTCAAGCGGCAGCAGGCAGAGCGAGCGGTACAGACGGGCCAATCTGGCCAACTATGGCTATGGTGCCCGTCGCACGTCCTAGCTTTCTTGGCATTTCTGGCCACTCGTCGGCCCATACTCTATATGCCGCGCTGGTAGCGCGGCGATCTTGCACAATTTCTTTTTCGTTCCGCGGACATTGCAGATCGGTGTGTTACTACAGCGACGCGGCGGCAGAGCATGAAGAACGAGTTGTTTGTTGCTGCAGATCGGCATGGTGCTTCGAGTTCCCGTTCTTCTTATTCCTCTAGAAGATCTATCCTGCACGGGGGCGTGGTCTGGCTCATAGTCTGGCTCATGATGCTCTCAACCAGGTGCGCTGAGCACCATATCGTGCTTGGCTCCGTGACCACCTCCGAGTCCAAGCAGGCAGGCAGCGCAAGTAGAAGGACGTGGTGGACGCGAATCGCCGATACCGGGCCATGCCGGCCCCGTCCTCGACGCCATTCGCAGGCATGCCCATCCCATAGCCCTTCAATCTTCGTTCAATGCTCTCTCTGGGCAGTGGCTGCTGCCGAGCTGGCCGCACGAGGGCGACATCCGCAACGGGCTGTTGCATTCCTTGCGCTCTTGGTCCGGGGTGACGCTTTTACCTGGCCGGGTACGGCACCGTGGCAAGGACAGGATCAACGTCTTCCTGGAGCAGCAGCGGATCCCGAGCAACCCGCTGGAGTGGGTTGGCTTGGAGGCGCGCGTGGAGGAGGAGCTGAACATCGTGGGTGACCAGATCATCATGGCTTACGATCGGCGTCCGAACAGGCTGTGGGCATCACCCTCGGCAGGCGTGGCCGCCTGTCTCCGGAGCTCGGTTGGGGCGAGTACGAATTGTAAGGTAAGTCCAGAGCTATCGGTCGTGGACGTCGAGGTCTGGCAGCGTGCGCAGGCCCAACATGAGATTCCCGCCCCACTTCGCCCGGGGGCTTCGCCACCAGGCCGACACCCCTTGGAAAGTGGACCCGCGAGCCTGGGGAGGAGGATGACGAGGGGGGAGAATGGGGGAGAAAGAGGGGAAACGCAGGAGGAGGACGTAAAAGGGGAAGAGGGGGAGGAGGAAAAAGGGGGATCACGAGGCACAATAGCGACGTTGACGATGACCAGCTAACTGAAACGGAAGGAGCTTTTCATGTGGTGTCCGACCGTCGGAGTACTTATGTTATTTGTCAATGTTGTTCGTACTATGCGTATTCGTCTATATACTAGTCCTACGACTGGTATTGCAAGTTTTTGCGTGATCTTCCTCATGCAGTGTTCTTCCACATCCTCCTCCTCCTCGCAGTGCGAGGGGAGGAGGACCAGGAGGAAGAGGCAGGATGAAGGAGGGAGGAGGGAGGAGGAGGAGGGAGGAGGAGGAGGAGGGAGGGGCAAATGTCGAGGGAGGAGGAGGAGGAAGGAGGGAGCAAAAATCTCCCCCCCGCCGGGCCCGGGGCGCCGGGCATGGCGCTCTTAGCCTGCGCGGGGAGGGTGCTGAGGTGAGCCTGCGGGGCCGGAGGTGGGGGGAAGATCGATCCCCGTCCCGCTCCTCCTCGCTCCTCCTCGCGCTCCTCCTCCTCCTCCTCCTCCTCCTCCTCCTCCTCCTCCTCCTCCTCCTCCTCCTCCTCCTCCTCCTCCTCATCCTCCTCCTCCTCCTCCTCCTCCTCCTCCTCCTCCTCCTCCTCCTCCTCCTCCTCCTCCTCATCCTCCTCCTCCCCCTCGCTTCTCCTCCTTTTCCTCCTCCTCCTCGCTCCTCCTCCTCGCTCCTCCTCGCTCCTCCTCCTCCTCCTCGCTCCTCCTCCTCCTCCTCCTGCTCCTCCTCGTGCTCCTCGTCCCGTTCTCCTTATCGGAGGTGAGGGGGTGAGATCGAAGCGGAACGGAGAGCCCCCCCAGCGGGAAATCGGTTTCGCTTTCGTGTTCGTGCGTGCCGTGCGTGCGGGCGAGGCGAATCTGCGTGGGCGGGCGAGAGGAAAATCTCCTGTGGCTGAAGCGCGGCCCGAGCGAATGACTCTCCCTCCGGCAAGAGGTGGCGCGCGGTGTCCCGCCGGTGTCCCGCCGGTGTCCCGCCAGTGTCCCGCCGGTGTCCCGCTGGTGTCCCGGTGTCCCGCTGGTGCGAAAACGATAGTGAGACCGATGACGGAATCGATTGTGAGATCGATAGTGAGATCGATGTCAAACCGATAATGAGATCGATCGTGAAATCGATAGTGAGATCGATAGTGAGATCGATTGTGGCATCGGTAGTGAGATCGATTGTGAAAAAGATAGTGAGATCGATCGAGTGAGATCGATCGAGTGAGATCCATAGCGAGATCGATTGTAGGATCGATAGTGGGATCGATAGTGATATGGACCATGAGATCGATAGTGAGATCGATAGTGAAATCGATAATGGTGCCGATAGTGAAATCAATCGATAGTGGGATCGATTTTGAGATCGCTTGTGATATCGAGAGTGAGATCGAACGTGAAATCGATCAAGTGAGATCGATAGTAAGATCGATCGAGTGAGATCGATAGTACGGTCGATAGCGAAATCGATCGTGGGATCGATAGTGAGATCGATGGAACGAGCGATAGTGAGATTGACCATGAGATCGATAGTGATACCGATAGTGAGAGCGATAGCGGCATCGATAGTGAGATCGATCGATAGTGGGACCGATATTGAGATCAATCGTGAACTCGATCGTGAGACCGATAAAGAAACCGCTTGTGAGATCGATAGTGAGATCGATCGAGTGAAATCGATAGTGACATCGATATTAGGATCGATAGTGAAATCGATCGAATGAAATCGATAGTGACATTGATCGAATGAGATCGATTGTGAAATCGATTGTGGAATCGATGGTGAGATCGATTGAGTGAGACGTTGGTTTCTCATCCCCCCTCACCTCCTTATCACTCGAAGGATGGTCGTATAGGTAGATAATCCCACCAGCCCTTTGGGCGTGAGTGGTTTAGGTAGCCTTCTCTGTCCTCAACCCCCCAACCCCCCTTCTTCCCCTTCGGGGAGGGGTTTACCCCTCCCCCTACCCCCTCCCCCTGGGTCTGGAGAGGGCGGGCCGCGGGTCGTTGGAGGGGTCTTTTTCGACTCCTGGGAGGGCTAAAAACGACGACCCTCACGAGGATTCTGGCCCCGACGGGGGGGCTGAGAAAAAAAAAAACCCTCCTCTTCTGTGAAGCCAAAACCATCGATTTTACTAGGGTGTTGGCCCCATTTGGGGCTTCTGAGGGGGCAGCGCTCATCGTCCTTCATAGCAAAATCATTGATTTTACGAAGGTTTGGGGCTCATTTTGTCCTTCTCAGGGGGCAGCTCTCATTTGCGCTTCTGATGAGGTCGCACGAGGCCCTAAGATGGCCCCAAGAGGCCCCCAGGAGGCTCCCAAGAGGCCTCCAAGAGGCCCCCCAGAGGCCCCCAAGCGGCCCCAAGAGGCCCCCAAGAGGCCCCCAAGAGGCCCCCAAGAGGCGCCCAAAGGCCCCAAGAGGCCCCCAAGAGGCTCCCAAGAGGCCCCCAAGAGGCCCCCAAGAGGCCCCAAGAGGCCCCAAGAGGCCCCCAAGAGGCCCCGAAGAGGCCCTACGAGGAGCCCGAACGACTCACACCAGGACGAGGGGCCCGAACGACTCACACCACGAAGAGCCCGAACGACTCACACCACAAGGAGGGGCCCGAACGACTCACACCAGGACGAGGCGCCCGAACGACTCACACCACGAGGAGCCCAAACGACTCACACCACGACGAAGGCCCCGAACGACTCACACCACGAGGAGCCCGAACGAGTCACACCAGGAGGAGGGGCCCGAACGACTCACACCAGGACGAGGGGCCCGAACAACTCACACCACGAGAAGCCCGAACGACTCACACGAGGACGAAGAGCCCGAACGACTCACACCACGAAGGGCCCGAACGACTCACACCAGGAAGAAGGGCCCGCACGACTCAGACCAGGACGAGAAACCCCAAACGACTCTAACCATGAGGAGCGCTTTCTCTCCCTCCTCCTTCGCCTCGTCCTTCTCCCGCTCCCCCCACAAGGAGGATGTGCAAGGAGGCGGGAGGAAGGAGGAACAGGGGAGATATGCGGGCCCAAGCGGACACACGCCTGAAAAATACGACTGACGGCATGCTTCGCGAGAGTTGCTGCTGTGAGATGGGCTGGTGGGGATACGCGAAGCGTAAAGAATTCCTCCCTGTCGCACCACCAGACGAGTCTATGGGCTGGGCGCGTCGCCTGAGACTTCCTCGACAATAGTGGCCCTGAAACTTGAAATTTGCAGCACCTTCAAGGATGGAGCCCGGGTGGTTTTCAAAATGTGGCGCTCGCTCTAGCTTCGCTCACAGTTTCTGAAAAATCGGCAACAACTTCAAGGATGGAGCCCTGGTGGTTTTCAAAATGTAAATTTCGCTTCAATGCCGCGCGCATCCGTCGCCAAAAACTTGCAACAACTTCAAGGATGGAGCCCTGGTGGTTTTCAAAATGTGGCTCTCGCTTCAGCGCCGCGCACACTCGTCTCAAACATTGTTAATGTTTCGAGGATGGAAGCCAATTCGTCTTCAATGTGTGGTGTTCGCCTTGGCGCCTCGCACGTCTGTACGACCCAGCGCTAAACATCGGATGCAATAAATACGACTCGGTGCACATCCACTCGATCCAAACCTCACCTTAACGCAACGTATACAAGTCAGCCCGCATCCTTACGACCCAACCCTCACCATCCTACGCCAGAACTATTACTCGGCCACATCCAGACGACCCAATCCTTACCGTTAGATGCAAAGGAAAATCACACCCTTACGACACAACCACCACCATCCGATGCAACAACAGCATTCGGCGCGCATCCACCCGGCCCAACTCTGAGAACGTTATGCGCAACAGATGATCCATATGTCCCAACCCTCATCGTCATGTGTTGGGAAAACGACAGTCGGTGCGCATCGGCTCACTGCCAGCATCAACCCGCCCCCTGGCCCCCGAAAAGCCCCTGGGCACAAAAGGCAGGAACAACCAATAACTCGATAGCAAATACATTATACATCAACACGTTTCGGGCATTCCCCGCCGAATCATATTTTGGACCCGAGCGCTTCTCAGGCTGCCCCAGGCGCTCCCAAGCTACAGTCTCTTCCCAAGTGCGCCCAGGCTTGCCGTCGTTACCAGCAGCAACAACATCCACATCCTCATCTTCATCGCCCTCGTCGCCGCAAGAGGCCTCAAGGAACACGTGAATCCTGAGGACGCCAAGAGGTCTCCAAGACGGCCCAAAAGGCCCCAAGAGGGCCTCCAGGAAGGTCTGAAGAGGCCAACTTCATATGTGTTCCTGAAGTGTTTGAAGGTTGTTGGCAGTTGCTTTCCGACGGCCCGAGCCGGCCCAAGAGCCCCCCAAGATCACCCCAGATCGCCCAAGAGGCCTCCAAGATGGCCCCAGAGCGGCCCAAGAAGCCCCCAAGACAGCCCCAAGAGGCCCCAAGAGGCCTCCAAGACGCCCAAGGTGGCCTCCCAAACGGACCTGAAGCACCCCCAAGAGAGCCCCAAGTCGGCCCAGAGAAGCCCCCAAGACGGCGTCCGACGGTCTGGGAATGCCCTAAGACGGCCAAAGGGGCCCCCGAAAAGCCCCCAAAGGCACCCAAGAGGCCCAAGGAGGCCTCCAAGATGCCTCCACGAGTCTCCCAGGAAGCTCCCAGGAGGCCCCAAGAGTGCCCCCACAGGCTCCAAAGATGCCCCCTCCTCCTCCCGATCCTCCCTGCCATCCTCCCCCAAAATGCTCCCCGACGTGTTTCCAAAACGGCTGGGGGAACGCATGGTCCGATAGCATGGCAGAACTCTTGCCACAACTTACCAGCCTCGAAAGTATCCCATCCCTAAGATTGACACGCCAAAAGGCGATGACAATCTTAGGGATTCGCCATCAAAAAATAAGGGAATCCCTAAGATTGGCATCGTGATGAGGAGGTGCCCAGCATAGGGATAGGGATATGTTCCAGGCTGGTAAACAACGCTCGGCCACATGGACGACAAGGCAGGGGGCGACGATGAGTCGCCGTGGGCGCCTTCGATGATGCCCAGTGGAGCCCCAGCTCTGCGCTCCCCTCCAGGAAAGCCAAGAAGCAGAGGGAGAACGGGGGCGGGGCAAGAGAGGAGGACGAGAAAGGAGGAGCCCGCTGCCGCGTGCACGTCCTGCCGTCGCACAGACATCCAGCCCCCCCCCGGGATCGGCGGCATTGGCCGGAGGCCATTGCATCATGGAAAAACAGATCCTGCTCCTCCTCTTCCTCATCCTCCTCCTCCTCCTCTTCCTCCTCCTTCTCCTCCTCCTCCTCCTCCTCCTCCTCCTCCTCCTCCTCCTCCTCCTCCTCCCCCTACCCCTCGTCCTCCTCCTCGCTCCTCGTCGGCTGCCGCTTCCTATGGAAGCGGCGTCCGCCCGGCCTGTTACGAGCGTGACTCGCGCCTTCGAGGACGACCGAACCGAGCTGCACTTCTCGCTCATCGCTCCTCCTCCTCCTCCTCCTCCTCCTCCTCCTCCTCCTCCTCCTCCTCCTCCTCCTCCGCCTCCTCCTCCTCCTCGCTCCTCCCTCGATCCTCGCTCCTCCCCCTCTTCCTCGCTCCTCCTCCTCCTCCTCCTCCTCCTCCTCCTCGCTCCTCCTTCATCCTGTTCCTCATCAAATCCGAACATGGAAGATACATTCGAACCACATGTACCAATCGATCGCCATCATTATCATCACAATCTTTGCCGATCGACACGATTGGCTGTGCGTCGGGGCGGGCGTGTGTGGGCGCACACCCAACCAGCAGCAGACGGGCGTGCGTTCTGGCCGCGTGCTCTCTTGGAGGTTTGTGCCTGGACGGGCCCAGCGACGCTCGAAAGTTGGTGGGGAGCTCCGTGCGCTAGGGACGATGGCGACCGACGACGACGACCGACAGACGACGACGATGACGACGACCACGACGACAACCGACAAACGACGACCGACGACGACAACGACGACGGCGGCGTCGACGACGACGACGAAAACCGACGAACGAGGACCGACGACGATGCTGACGACGGCGGCGACGACGTTGATGACGGCGGCGGCGACAAAGACGACGACGACGACGATCACCAACGAACGACGACCGACGACGACGACGACGATCGACGATGTCCACGCCCGACAAGTCAGGGTTGTGCGATTTTGAAAGAAGACTCGCCCGCAAGCCCTGCACAGCGCAGCGGCACGGCCCACCACATCAGACGAGGTGCCCGGCCCAACTCATCAGAAATGGTGCCTGAGACACCCGCCTCGCCAGCCCTGCATGCCGCGGCCGCCAGGGCCGCGGTGCCCGGAGTAGCGTCACCTCACGCTCCTCTCCACGCCTGGGCTCCTCCCTGCGGCGCTCCTCCCCACTCTGGCGGACTCCTCCCCACTCCCCTGCACTCCTCAGCACTCCTGCCCATTTCCTCCCCACTCCACCGTACTCAGCGGCACTCCTCCCCACTCCTCCAGTCCACGGCACTCCTCGGCGCTCCTCCCCCCGTCGCACTCTTCTGCGCTCTGCCCCACTCCTCGCGACTCTCCTCCCTGGGGCTCCTCCCCACTCCTCCAGACTCCCCCCCACTCCATCGCACTCCACGGCACTCCTCGGGACTCCTCCCCACTCAGTCGCACTCCTCGTCGCACTCCCCAACTCCTCCCAACTCCTCCCTCCATCTCACTTTCCGGCACTCGTTCCCACACATCCGGAGTCCTCCCAACTCCCTCGCACTCTTCTGCACTCCCCCCCGCTCCATCGCACTCCCCAACACTCCTCCAGAGTCTTTTCCACTGCACGTGCTCCATCGTAGTCCTCGGCACTCCTCCAGACTCCTGCCTCCGTCTCACTTCTCGGCACTCCTCTACACTCCTCCGGACTCCTCCCCACTCCACCGCACTCCTCGGCGCTCCGGCCCAACAGCCTCCCCACTTCGTCGCCCTCCTCCCCTCTTCGGTGTCCCTTTCCACTCCGTCGCGCGTCGCACTCCTCGGCACTCCTCTACACTCCTCCGGACTCCTCCTCACTCCACCGCACTCCTCGGCGCTCCGGCCCAACAGCCTCCCCACTTCGTCGCCCTCCTCCCCTCTTCGGTGTCCCTTTCCACTCCGTCGCGCGTCGCACTCCTCGGCGCTCCTCCAGACTCCCCCCCCACTCCATCGCACTCCTCTCTCTCTCTTCCTCCATCCCTCCTCCCCACTCCGTCGCACTCCTCCCCACTCTGCCCTCCTCCTCCCCACTCCGTGGGTTCCGCCCTGCCCTCCCCCTCCCCCCTCTGCATCCGTAGCCGACCCAGCAGAGCAGCTGCGGCCCCACAGCTCCAGAGGGAGAGCCTGCCCCCTGTCAGCTTACAGTTGTGGTGCCCCCGCCCCCCCCCCCCCCCCCCCCGGACCCCCCCCCGCAACACTGCGCCGCGGAGAACGGTGCATCGCAGCAACACTGAAGAAGGGGGTCGAAGGGGTCTCTGCCAGTGGGCTCCGCGGGGCTTCGTGGTGCCCCATCCTTGCAGTCGGCGCTCAGCAGGGCGAGACCGGGGCAGGGCCCATATGGCCGCGTCAACATGGAAGAGGGGGGTTGCAGGGCGCTTCAGGCTTCCGACTCGCGCCCTGCACACCGCTGCGCTTCTGGGGTCGACCTCGCGTTGAGCCACTGCCCGCGTCCACCACCAGAGGCCCCGGCCCCCACCCCACAGCCAACGAGGCAGCCGGGAGCCGACGAGGTAGGCCACAAGGCAGCCAACGAGGCAGCCAACCAGCCATCCGACGGGGCAGCCGACGAGCCAGCCAGCGAGGCACCCCACGAGGCAGCCAGCAAGACAGCCGACGAGGCAGCCAATGATGCAGCCGACCAGGCAGCCAGCGAGGCAGCCAACAAGACGGCCGACCGAGCAGCCGACGAGGCAGCCGGCAAGACAGGTGCCAAGGCAGTCAACCGGGCAACCGACGAGGTAGCCGCCAAGGCAACCAAGCAGGCAGCTCACGAGTCACCCCACCAGGCAACCACCAAGGCAGCCAATGAGGCAGCGGACCAAGCACCCATCGAGGCAGCCGACAAGGCAGCCAATCGGGCAGCAGACAACGCAGCGGATGAGGCATCCAATCAGGCCCCCAACGAAGCCGCCAGGGGGTTGGCCGATGAGGTAGCTGAAATGGGGCATCCTAAATTGGATCCCCCCTTGCGCGGCCGCACCCTTTCAAGTCATGTAGGTCGAGCGCTCTTTGGCATTGTAGATGCGAAAAGGACATCCGAGAGATGCGATGCCCTCTCTGGACTGCGGTCAAGAGCAGCAGAGCGGCAGAGAATCGCACAAGGGATCCACGATTCGAATCTCATATCCCGTGTGTTGCGAGCATCCGCCAGACCAACTTGTGCACTGGTTCGATGCTACTTTCCATCCACCGTACCTCCCCCTTGTCGCACCCCCAGACGCGTCGGTAGGGCGTGCGCCGGGTGCTTCGCCTGAGAATCCTGAAGCTTAGCATGTGCAGCTTCACGAATGGAGGGCGGGACGCTTCCAAAATGTGGCTCTCGCCTCAGCGTCGCGCACTCTCGTCGTAAACAATCACAGCAGTCTCGGGGTTGGAGGGCGGGCCACTTTCAATATGTAGCTCTCGCCTTAGAGCCGCGCATACTCATCTTAACACGTTACGGTAATTCCAAGGATGTAGAGCAGGTCCTGTTCAACATGTAACTCTCGCCTTCACACCGCACACTCGTCCTAACAAGTTGCAGCAATTGCACGGATGCAGGGCAGGCGGTCTTCAAATGTTACTCTCGCTTCAGTGCCGCGCACACTTGTTTAAAGGTTTGCGAAGGATTTGAAGATGAAGGGCGGTTACTCGTCAACATGTAGTCCTCGCGCTGGCGCCGCGCACATTCGTGTTGAATGATTTGGATCGGCTTCAAGGGTTCGCATGCTCGAAGTCCCAGGGATCGTGTTCTGGCAAAATTTCGGATTGCCAAGGCGTAACGGTTACGTTGAGTCGCTGTGTTGAAGTGCCAGGGATGGTGTTTTTGGTATGGCTTGAAATTGGAAGTGCGCAGCTGTCATGTTTATTCACGACGCTGAAATCCCACGCATGGCGTTTTGGCAAGATGGAGGATTCTCAGACGGTTACCTTCAAATTTGGCATTGACAATAACGAGAATAAGTTCATGCGTGGCCATCTCAAGAGGGAACTTGGAGGGATGGATAATTGAAACATCGTTGGTGCGTCTTGGACTTACACTGGTCCTCCTCATTCCTCCTCCTCCTCCTCCTTCTCGATCCTCCTCCTCGTCGCTACCCCTCCTCCTCGATCCTCCTCCTGGTCCTCCTCCTCCTCGTCCTTAGACAGCTGAGCATCCTTACCACGCGCTTTGACCGTAAAGCCATCGCGCCACCAAGAGGAACACTGAACTCCGAAACGAATGGGCGTTCTTCTGGCCACGGCGAGCCTCGGCCACGAGCGGGATCCCAAGCCTGGACCTGAGGAGCGGACCGAAAACCAGGACCCTTCCTAAGCCAAACGTGGCACTCGGTTCAGCGCCTTGGCGCACGACGACCACGACCCCCGCGGGGCGCCATCTTCGGCTGCCGGTCGCCGCCATCTTCCCAGTCCCCGGCCCTCTTCATCGCCGCCCTCGGGGTTGGGGCCCGTCGGGGGTCTCGAGCCTTCAACGGCGGCGCCGCGCTGCTGGCGCGCAGATCATCATCATCATCATCATCATCATCATCATCATCATCATCATCATCATCATCATCATCATCATCAGCAGCAAGAGTAGCAGCATCATCATCAGCATCATCATCATCATCAGCATCATCATCATAATCATCATCATCATCAGCAGCAGCAGCAGCGGCAGCATCATCAGCATCATCATCATCGTCGGCGTCGTCATCATCATCGCCATCATTATCATAATCATCATCATCAGCAGCATCATCATCATCACTACCATCATTACCATCATGGTCATGACAATGATGATGCTGATCCTCATCATCAGCATCATCATTATTATCATCATCAGCATCATCATATCCTGCTCCATCATCGCCATCAGTATCATCATCAGCATCAGCATCAGCATCATCACCATCATCATCACCATCGTACGACCACCATCAGCATCACCATCACGATCACCATCGTCACCACTACCCACCATCAGAATCACCATCACATGCATGAGCATCGTTATCATCATCACCACCATCACCATCACCAACACCATCACCATCATCAACATCATCCATATTATTATCATTAGCATCATCATCTTCTGCTTCATCATCATCACCATCAGTACCATCATCAGCATCAGCATCAACATCAACATCAGCAACAACAATCACAACATCATCATCACCACCATGACCATCACCATCACCATCACCATCACCATCACCATCACCATCACCATCATCATCATCATCATCATCATCATCATCATCATCATCATCATCATCATCATCATCATCATCATCATCATCATCATCCTGGCAGTCATACCTGGGCCAGAGAAGGGAACTCCTGACCACGCCGACCAACCATAACAGGGGGAGCTGCGTTCCTTGCCCCCCTGGCCCTGAAGCTCATCGTGTCGACGGCCCTTGAGAGGGCTGCCGAAGCCGATGGGCCCTCCAGGATGGGTAAGGACCACCGCTTCTCCAGCTCCGGCCCCAGACCCTCGTCGTCGTGCCCTTGTCCACTACGTGGGCCCCCAGAGGTCCCGATCTCTTGCCGGAGACCCAGCCTCTCATCCCGAGCCGCTCTGTCGACAGTCCAGGGGCTCGGCGAGAGCCACCCCGGGCCCCAGGGGGCGAGTAGGGGTAGGAAGAGGAGGAGGAAGAGGAGGAGGAGGAGGAGGAAGAGGAGGAGGAGGAGGAGCAGGAGGAGAGGCGGATAAGGCAGGACTTTGCTTCTCACGACGCGAGAGACAGCCGGCTCTCGGGCCATGACGCGGGCCTCTGGCGGCCAATGACTCGAGCCCCCCCACCCCCGAGCGTTGTCGTCGAGGCGCGGCTGCTGCGAAAAGACCTCCAAGAACCAGCGAGAAGTGGCCGAACACTTGTCGTGAGGACCACAACCCCGCCCCCGCCCCTCGCGGCCAGTCCGGTGGAGAGCTGGTCGAAACCTATCGCTGGACCCCTCCAGCCCATCCTGGCCGATTTTTCAAGCTGCGCCCAGCCGTGTGCAAGAGAGCCTCCGGAAGCATCCGAAAGCATCGAAGTCTCGAAACCTCGAGGTGTCGAGAGGCTCCAGAGTTCGGTATGTTCTCCCCTGAGCGGTGGCTGTTCGGGCGGGTGTGCCACGGCGCTTCGCCGCGCCGAGGTGACCTGTCTCAGCCAGGGGGGCGGTGCGACCGTCGGCAGTTAGGGGGCCACCGCTGGGGGAGCCGTGGTGCCCTTTCTCGATGCACAAGCGCGCGCATCTCGTAAGGGAGAATGGAGTGTTGCCCTTGCGCCTATCATGCCTGCGTTTGCTCTCTGGCCAGGACGCGTTGTCCACGCACCTCGAGCCGGCCTGGCGGGAGCGGACCTGCCCCCTCCTCTCCTCGGTCCGCGGCGGGCCGCGCACCGCCGGCGCATCTCCTAATACGATGGGCTCCAGGGGTCACATCGGCTCAGACGGCCGAGGCACGTGGTACATTCAAAAAAGCAGCAGACGGTAGAGGAAGGGAGAGGGAGGAGAAAACAGACCCTCCTCTTCCTCCTCCTCTTCCCCTCCTCTTCCATTCCTCCCCTTAAACATAACTCCTCGATGTCGCACTCCGATGCTGGTCGAAAGGGCGGGCCGGGCGTTTTGCGTGACACTTCCTCACCACACTGGCCACTTTTTCACAAATGGAGAGCGGGTGGTTTTAAAAATGAAGCTTTCATCTTAGCGCCGAGCGCATTCGATGCTGAGACTTTGAAGAGTTTAATGGATTGAGGGCGGGTGGTTTTCAACATGTGGCCCTCGCATTAGCGCCGCGCACATTCTTTCGAACACCTTCAAGAACTTAGCGGATTGAGGGCGGGCCGTCTTCAAAATGTGGCTCTCGCCTTAGCGCCGCAGACGCTCGAGGGCGGGCCGCTTTCAAAATGTGGCTTTCGCCTTCGCACCGCGCGCACTCGTTCTTTCAACATTAGCAAAAACTTCACGGAGTGAGGGCGGGTCGTTTTCAAAATGCGGCGCAGGGAATTCGTAGGGAAGGTTTATTCCAACATCGTTGATGAATATTGGGTTTCCGTTGTGCTCCATCCTCGCCCCGTCCTCCAGTGGTGCACTACGGTGGTGCATTAGGCCTCTCGTCGCACCAGCGTGACGAAGGCGCTCCCAAATCACTTCCAGCATCCTCCCTCCTCCCCCTCAACATCAGCACCACCGACGACGACGACGATCATCGCAAACACACGGCTCATCCCCAGCTGCGGCCTGTCCGCCAAGGCGCCCCGCCGCGCGCCGCGGGAGACCCACTGGCGGCCGCCGCGAGGGGGGGGGGGGGGGCGCGGAGGAAGGGGGGATGGTGAAGGGGGAGGGAGGAGGGAGGAGGAGGGAGCAGGAGAAGGAGGAGAAGGAGAAGGAGGAGGAAGAAGAGGAGGGAGGAGGAGGGAGGATGAGGGAGGAAGAGGAGGACGACGACGACGACGATGGAGGAGGAACGAGCGAACGAACCTCGGGGAAATGCACCATCGTCGCGCCCTGACTACGCAACTAAGCAATCGCCTCATGCTATGGCCGGGTGCAACTGGTTTCTGAAACTGGGTATCCCAGTCCCGCCGCCTGGGAAACAGGCTACGACTCCGCAGGCCCTGCCTGCGCTCCCCTTTGGGGAACAGTCCTGCGAGCACCCGCCCTGAGGCACGCAACCCTACCGGAGGCGCCCACTCAGGCGCGAGAGCCTCGCCCGCCGTCGCGACGTCTGCGCCCGCCGCGTTTGCCTGGCGCGCCTCGGCCGTGGCCAGGAAGGTAGACCAGCAGGTGGGCAGGCAGGTCTTCGTCAGCGTAGCTACTTACCGGCACGGCCGCATGCCGAGACATAGCCGCGGTCTCTGCACCGATGCTGCCTCGAGCTTCCACCTCCGCCCGTCTGGGAGCTGCTAAAACATGCCCCCGTCTCCGATCGATGCCTCCGACACGAGGCGCCAGAACGGGATGAACTACTGCACGTTATTCGCCTTCTTCGCAATCTCCCTCTCGAGCGAGCCCCTGGGTGCCGAGCCGTGCGCTGCCGCCCCGCCCACGCACTGGATCACATTCATTCTGCGTGGGACTTCGTGTCCTTATTGGCTTTCTTCGTGAAGGCTAGGCATTGCGGCTTCTGGCCCTCCTCCTTGCGCAGCACCTTCAGCCTGAAGTAAAACACCGCCTCCGCGATGTCCTCCATGCCGCCGGAAGCGACATGGTGTCCCCGCGCCTCCTTGCCCTCGAGCCCGTTGGTGTTCTCGTCGTCCTGGCCATCCGCCGCCGCGCGCTCCGCCGCGCGCTGGAACGCCGCCAGGAACGCATTTCGCGCCCGCCGCCAGCGCAGCCGCGGGGGGCCTCCGGGCCCCCTCGAGAGGGGCGGCAGCACGCAGGTCGCGTGCGCCACCTAGTCGGCCAGCGCGCGAGCCTGCCCTAGCACCGAGCGCCCGACGGCCGTCGGCAACTTCGCCAGGTCGTCTTTCTCGCCAATATTGCCTTTCTCGGCGACGATGCCCTCGCCCCCGGTCGCCCCCGCGTTGCCGCCCGCCCCCTGGCTCGGGAGGTTGGGCCGCGACGGCGTCGCCAGCTCCTTCAGCTCCAAATGCTCGGGCTATGCGTCGCTAGCGCCTACCCCAACGTCGTCGGAAGATGGTTGAAGAGATGGCCGCCGCGGGCGGGGAGATCCCCAGCTTCGTGGCCAAGCATCGGGCAATGCAGCGAGCGGGGCCCCCGAGGGGTCTCATTGCTTCGCGGCGTGGCCCCTGGGGCACCCTCGTAGCATCGCCCTCGCCTGATCGCCGCTTACACGCGACGCGCGGCCATGATGCGGGTCTTAGACGCCTGTCGACACCCAGTGCAGATGTTCGTCGGTGTCAGCACATGCGCAACATTGTGGAGGTGGCGTTTGGGCCACGCGTGTGAGGGGGGAGGTCTGGGTCGCGAAACGACCCCGCATAATTCCCCACCGCCCGTCCGCACCTCGCATCGATGAGCCCCGTCGTCGCCGGCCCTCTCCGTCGTCGCATGCGCGCCAGAGTCTCGTCTGCACCAGGCCGTTCGGATGCCCCCTCCCGGCCCCCATGGCGGCGCCTGTTCGCGCTCCGCCGGCGGCGGGATCTGCGCAGCATTCAAGGCTGCTCGCAACCATCCAAAGTTCAGGGCAGTGACCTCGGACGCCCGTTCCACGGGCGCAATGGAATCCTCGAGGATCTCACCCAGCCCGCTAGAATCCACGATCGGGGCCGCAACCCGCAAACTAATTCCATCGGGCGAAGCCAAGGCGAAGCCGAGCCCGACGGCCCCCCCCCCCGCGGGCTGCGGCGCAAGTCGAGTCGCGCCCCCCCCGCAGCACCCCCAAAAATGCACGCGAGAGTTGAACGCGCGCCGTCGGAGTTCGAGCCTGGGACCGATG